AAGGATAATAATTTGTGAACCGCTTTGAGATGACCTTCTAAGAACCTCGAATCTGTATTATTAGTAGTATTAGGAGGCATACCTCGTTATATTTTTACAGGAACATGTAGACCCCTTTTGTTGATTTTATTAAGTGACCCAGAAGGCTTTTTTTTCAGATATTATTTATTTTAGCTATAATCAGTAGGACGAAACAATTTATAATGGATAGTAACAGATTTGGTAGTTGGACAGAGATCCTTAAAAAACGTCATATTTATTAATCCACACAAAGCATTTTATTCTGGTTTAAGAGATCATCGCTGTCAAGTGAATACTTTCGATGCTTGACTTGTTTTTTTGTTATGATAAATTCCAACAGGAATCAGTTCGTGATATTGTTGGTGGGTATTGCAAGCAATATCCATATTGCAATATATTGCAATATTTAAGGGAATATTGCAATATATATGTAGATACCACAATACATTGTTTCCATAAAAAATCCAGTGCTGTATTAAACGTTTTCCATGGAAGAAACGAAAAATACGCATAAAGTATGAACATTTCAATGATAAATTGAAAAATATTAAAATTGGAAGATTTTCAATCTGATTAAAACCCTATCTTAATACTCCGTACAATTTACGTATAGCAGAGTGTGCGGAGCGTAGATCAAGCTATGATATTATTCAGATTGGAAGATATTGAAGCAAAAATAAGCTTAATTCGATTTCAATATTATTTCTGCGAAATCATTTCATAACTGCGATTAAACAAACATAAAAAGAATTAAGTTCAAAACATTATTGCAATATATTGCCATTTCAAAATCACATTACAATATATATTGATAAACGGATAATGCAATATATTGGTGATATTGCATAGTGTTACACACAAACAGCTAAAGTTGGTAGAGAAAATAGGTTTGATAAATAGATAAAACCTGAAACACATTTTTTTGCAATTTTCCCCTATTTATTATCGGCCTTTTAATAAATGATCAATTGTTGGTTTAAAACAGCTCACGTTTTCTGGGTTTTAAATTATTGACCCACATGTATACGTTTTCCAAAATTTCGTGCAAAATGTGCAATGTCACAATGGTATTTGGATATTTCGTTACACGATCGCACGAGTTCCTTGATTGATATCTATATAAGTAATCTCTGATGATTCGTATATGTATATTTAAATTTCCAGATACACCCACCAACCAAAAGTGTTGTTATAAAACAGCAGCAGCAAGAACTTTTCCAATCGGCGAACCTCGGCTAATTCCGGTATCATTCATCAATTGATTCATGAAGGTACGGAATTTGCCGAGTTATGACGGGTAGAACTATTTCACATACGCATTCAATCCGAAACTGTTCGGTCTTACCGTCACACTATTTCAAGTATTCGGAACCACTCGTGGCCACTCGTCACAAGTCCGCAGATTCCGTACCTACATCAAATTAAGGGTACCGGAATCAGCCGAGGTTAGCCGAATGCACTCGTGGCGTGACGTCAAATTCAAACTATGACGGAAATTACCGAATGATTTCTGATTGATTCTTTTCACCGCGAGATTAATATAGGAGGTTTTTAAAAGAAAAAAAATAACGAGGAAAACTCAATTGTAAAATTACTAAAAGGGAGAAAGTTTCCTTTGGGAGGGTAGAAAGGAAATCATGACCTCACTACTTTCTAATTTTGCGAAATTCCTGTAAACCCAATTGCTACAAATGTACTTAGTTTTGCCATACGTGTAACACACTGACAGCTTCACATGATGGTATACATAGAAGCCTAGCATTGGCTTTCGTATTGCTGTAATATACGAATTTATTGATATATCAATTCGGGACAGGCCTGGTATTACTAATAACATTGTTGTCTGGAATGTAAATACATTTAATACGGTATTTTAGTATGTAACTGTACCTATTAACATCAGAAATAATCTATACAAACTGCTGACAATGGGGGCTGTTTCCCTAATGACTCACAACAAGCGTATATATATCGGTAAGTTCACTTATCGAAACCTCCCGAGCAATTTAGATAAAATTTTACTAATGAATAGCCCAATTCACAAATCGCTCGGTTCGGATCATAGCAATGGAGTCATATCAGGAATGTAACCTATTTTGATACAATCTTATCGGACTGTGGTCGAACCTAGATCGCCTCGGTTACGTATTAGCAGAGCCTCGAAGTGACATTCCATGTACGTGTAAGTAGAACCTTAGCGTCTGCGTTGATATAAAATACGAAAGTTTAAGTAATGCGATAAGACTTCTATCATAATTTATCAGCTCCTTGATGAATGCATGTTTGGTAGGGATTGTATGACTAACACTCCGCTCCCTGTTGTAACGATAGGGAGATTGGCATCTCCCAAAATTCTAAGCGTTGCATTCGCGCATTCTGGATATGCATTTCTTCTAAATATCTTCACCCTGACAGAATTGACACCCTTGTGTGCGCTACTTTGTGGACGTAACGAATTGATTAGATTTGTAACCGGAGAAAGAGAAAATGTAACGGCTAGACCGGGGTTTGAACCCGGGACCGTCCGAACTCGAGACGGACGCTCTACCAATTGAGCTACCTGGTGGCCGATGATCGACCCAATCCAGATTCGCTACATATTCATGGAATTGTTCATACTTGTACTCTCAGAGTAATCCTTTGATTAAAGACACAGGGTAAAAAATTAACCGCGTAACGGTAAATTGGAAGACTATGTCTTCAAAGTAGCTCTTTGATGATTTTGAGAGAGAAAAAACCAGATACAACTGTCTATCTGCCTTAAGCAAAGTAATTTTACATAGCAATATACCCATACCCACACACACACACTTTAGCTGAGTTTCAAATATGTAACACACTTAGTATTCATTATATTTCAGAATAATTCTAAATCATCTGTCAATCTGTCATATTGTGTTTTATATAAAAAAAATAAAAATATAAGGTAATAGCATACAGAGGTAAGGTTAGAAAAAAGAAAGAAATGTTTACGGAGAGAATAAAAAGTATGAGATGTAAGAATATATAGCAAGGAAACTCGCCCTATGTGGTGTATACGTCATAAATCCTTTTTCATGGGACACGGACCTGTAATTTCATAAATTTGATAATATTTATTACATAG